AACAATGATGTTACTTTGGTTGGTAGTGACTAGCAGTGGAGTCCAAAATGGGACTCATCATCTGGACGTACCTACAATCCTCAGTGAGTCATGGTGTTACCACTGATAATCGAACCCAGCATTCACCATTTTAACTGCCAAAGCAGTATACACTACGTCACTTGGGTCAAGAGTACCAGCTATTAATTGTTTATTACGGAAAGGACATTCTGGATTCCTCTGCTAGTCCCTATCCACCAAATAATATTATAGAAAAAATTCCCATTTAGACATTTAGAAAACAGAAAGATTGAGCGAGGAAATATTTACTTTTCAATTAGATCCTCATCTCACTCTGGCTCTACTCTAATATATTATGTATGGCATTTTTATCACAATACACAACAGTTTGCTCAATCATGTGGCAATATGTTTGTTAACAATAATTAGTCAGTGTCAACATGTCAATGGGTTGATAATTAACGAAGAAAATTAACACACTCAATTAAAAGGTAGAAATGGTTAGAATAAATTAATTTTACAAGGATTACACGTAATTAGAGATGAAATGGTCAGAAAAAATATAATTATAATTTTTATAATTTTAAAGGTTTAGGGGGTTGGATGTTCGGAAATACGATGATGAACCTGCCTAATTGTACGCCCAATGTAGCTGACTCTGCAGCTGCAGTCAAAATGGTAGATACACATAGAAGAAGGGGACAAACAAGATCTATTCGTAGCTCTATTGTAGCACACCTTGTAGATAGTGAGCATAAGGTTGACGTTAATACTGCATTTAAAATTATTTATCGCATTCCTACTAATCTTAATTTTGCTTTACGAGTTCGTCTTCTACATACAGCTGAAGGAATAGGGATCCACCTGAAGAAGCCAAACCTGTGTTCAGAAGAAGAAACTTGTACAGCCACTTTCCTTACCTTGGCCATCGTTACATGAATGTATAAACCGGACTACTTCGGCCCCCTCCCTCTAAATATTTAAAAATTATAACTGTCCAAATTATTTTATTATATTTTCTGACCACTTCATCTTTAATTACGTGTTGTCCTCGTAAAATTAATTTATTCTAACCATTTCTACCTTTTAAATAATATTATGTCAATCCTGAGATATATTATCGAAGCAATCTTGCTAGGAGCCGACACTCCAACAGAGACTAAACATTTCGGTCCAATGAATCAGTGGGAAAGAGAAAGTTTACTCTGAACAAAAGAAACTTATCCTTATTGCATAAGAGGGGTAACTTGTAGCCCAAGTAGTCTAGCGGATAACGTTTCAGTGTTTGAAATAATTGAATACTAGGTTCAATTCTCACTGGAAACACCACCAACCCTTTAAATTGCAGATACATCCAGCTGAAGAGTTCCAACCACGTTCCAACTCAGGCCGATACACTCGTACACCTCACTAAGTTGGTAGTAAGGTTAGTGGGCGTGGGGCTATCAGACCCATCCCGTAAAAGTAAACCACTGCTACCGAAACTTCAAAGCCTTAGCTTGAAGTAGCTTTCTCTCCTCATCATAATAGGAGCTCGCAGGAATCAGTCTTCTTGAGTCAATCAGTTCGGGTGAGGCGGGAGAGATCCAAAGGCTCTTAATAACTTTTGATCTCAGGTTATTAACAGCTTTTACAGCTGTGTCTACAACTAATTGTATGTTGCGCCAGGCTACCTCAGGGGAAGTCGTGCTGTCGACCTCAGATACTCCTTTCACTATTCCCTCCTTAAATAGGGACTCAGTGTCTCGATCTAGTTCGGGACGTAACTGTTTCGCTGCCGTCAATTTCTTATGTCCGTTTAGTGGTAAGCATAAATGTGCGCGAGCCAAAGCGTGATCGGAGTCTACCCACGTTTTCAAAAAAGGAGCGGCAGTCCTCTGCTGACTCTCGCCAACGATACCCTATGGCTATGTGGTCTATCTGAGTCCAGCGTTGATTTGGTGATGGAGGTCGCCAGGTTATACTGTGTCTCTCTTTGTGCGTAAAGTTAGTGCTGACTAGGAACAGATGATTATCTGTTCGTCGGTAGGAAACTCCATACGCGCCACCTACATACTTCGCGGCCTGGCACAACTTACCTAATTGGGCAGTGAAGTCGCCAGCTGGAACAACTATATCTGAACGTTTTGCTTTTTGCAGCAAATTAGACAGTTTCAGGTAGAAGTCATCCTTTAGTTCATCGGAACTGCATTCTGTTAGGACGTAAGCAGAGTCTATGTAAAGATAACAACGAGTAACGCACAGCTAGGGATTCAAAATGTGGATTGTCATAGCTCCAGTGTCTTGAAGAAGTTTGATTCTTACTTCTCTGGAAAGATCTCCTCATATTCTGTAGATGACTTTCAAGTTGGTTTGAGGGTTCACTTGGTGTCCAGAGTCAATCAGATGCTCCAAAAGAGAGCTGCAGGGGATCGTTTTTTTAATATCTCGTTTACAAACTAAAGTCAACAATAGTCTATTCAACAGTCACGTTTTAAGTATGCTTCACACATACAAAGCATCTGTTGAAACAGTTACAAAGCAATATGATATAACTCATAAATAGTAATAGCTAAGTAAATCCCATCATCTATACATATAAATCATTAAACCACAGTGTAAATATAATTATTGATATAAGTATAAAACTTGGGCACTGTGGTAGAGTATAACTCCAGTATGAATAAGATTTTATTTTGATAAATCACACAGTGTTTGTTATGCAGTAATATTAACTGATGACCACGTTTCAAGCACAAACTATTACCACTCATAATCATATCAAGTCACTCACTCACTAACACAACTTTCTTGCTTCGTTTATATACACGAGTGGAATTGATGATTAGACATTTGAATAAAAATCAACCCAATATAGGATAATGTACATTCCGAAATAATAATAATATGAGTGTTACTCATCAAATACAATCAGATGGGAAATAAGACAAATGTTTTTATAGTCAAAATAAATAAGTAACTTGTTAGAATGTTATGATGCATGTGAATTGAATTAAAATTTTAAGATTATTTATTATCCTCCTCTGATTTGACTAACTGGTGGCAATAATATCTTCCATGCATATATCTGGTATTTGCATTAAGTCATTTCTGTTGTATATGTTGTGTGTAGACTCAATGAACCAGGCAGGATTCAGTAATCAACTTCTCTCGCTTTCCACCTACCTGTATTACTTCTTAGAATTTTAACCCTCTCCCACTCACCATGCTACTGTGTGGTTGTGCGTTAATGCGTGCAGTGCAATGTAGTGCTGAATTTTTTCTAAATTACCTATCTTCTCGGGTGGGGTCAATTATTCTTACCTTAGCTGAATTCTGATGTTCCGACAATCTGACTACCCCCGATCTACTAGTTTGTCCTATATAGTTGACCTCACAGTCATTGCAGGGTATTTTGTAAATTATGTTATTTTGTTTCATTGTGTCCACCAGGTGTTTTAGCCTACAACATAGCTTGTCCTACTTGAGTGAGTTTGTAGGCTTGAATGCCACTCTAATTCCTGCTTTATTAAGAATCCTACTATGTAGGATCTCAGACGTCCCCTCCTTATATGGTATAACAGTGGATGACTTATACTCTCTCTTATTTATGTTATCACTACTAGTTTCACAATTATTTTTTTATTTTGCCTTTGGCTTTTTTCGATCTTCTTAATGAATTTTATAGGATAATTTATGCTCGAAAAGTGGTCGTCAGTTTAATATCACTGTGTGACTTATAAAAAAAATCTTATCCATAATGGAGTCACAGTGTAAATAATCAGTTCACTTTTTACTTTATGTTAAGTCTCCTAGTGTGAAACAGGAGTTATGACAGGAAAAACACTTAGTGAGGCTTTATGTCAGTTTGAGTTATACCAGCTAGATATACATTTAGGTGTATGATCATAAGCCATATTAATTACAAGATGATAGACTATATAGCCAGTCATATGATGTACAGAATAAAGGCGTAACAGTGAAGAAAATTAGCTTTTTTTTCAACGAATCATTTCCGACAATCGTTTACATTTCCTATTTAACGAAAAATTCATAAAACCAATCAGATATTAGCTAACTACATTTTAGGAAAAAGTATTACGTAATGTGAGGGGTAGTCTAGAAAATAGTGACTAAATGGAGATTTAAAAACAACACAAGTCGGAGTTACGTTATAAGAAATCTAATGAAAAGGAGTGATATGCTCCAGTTTATCCTAACTTAGTACTTTAAAAGTCAAGTGTCCCAAAACGTATACCCCGTAGTCATGAATAACTTCGAGGAACATAGCTCCGAGTGGAACGTAGAACTTCAACAGCACATCTCTGTTTCATTCTATTCTCCGTAGTCATGCCTAGCTGGACTCCACAACAGCCCATCAAAATAAATCTCCTAAAATGATCTCCTTCATGACACCCTCGGACCCACATCCAACTCGACGTTTCCCATTCAGGTGACACTCGAGAGACTGACTGTCTGACGCGTAATGTCATTTCAACGAGTCTTCTCAGCGTATGTCCAATTACCTCCACTTCCTGAGGCATATTTGTTGCGGAATAGATTGTCGGTTGTTTCACTGTACTGCCGGAGTTCCTTGTCGCTTTTCTTTTCTGGCTATCTGATCTTCAGTATGGAGCAAGGGTAGGTGTTGAAATGCCTTTTGATAGAGCGCCAAGTTTTTTAAGCCTATAACTCAGGAGTAATTCATTCCGTTAAAACAAGTTACTCTCAAAAACAAAGCTGAACAGAGCCAGGACGTTCTCGTATTTTCAACACACGCCGAAAGGGAAGCGGCGAGTTGGTCGTCAGTGCAAAGGTGACTTGGAGTACGTCATATGAGGAGGATATGAAAGCATGTGGGCAGACCTGGAGCGGAGTGAAAAAGTTGGCAGGAAACAGAAGGCAATGGAGACGCGCAGCTGAAGCCCTATATTCCTCTAGGAATTAAAGGATACAATAATAATAATAATGTTACTAGCCAGTTGAACAATGAATAAAGAAGAAGAAATTTTAAAACATACCCAAAATCCAATTGACCTTGACACACATTTTATTTGGTACATTACATCCAATTAGAACTGATGCCTCCATTTTCTTATTGGTAAGCTTAAATAAGACAAACAAATTATATTAGGATAATGATATACAAGAACAGTTTATAATACGTACATAATGAAAATTTCATTAGTTGTAATGTTCTTTTTCATCCCATGTCGTTCCAAGTGCAACATATTGGCTTCAAGATACCAAAGTTTTAGCAGTGGTATTAGTGTTGTTTTTACGAGGTGACGTCCCTAGGTCTCAACACTCAGCCTTCCCTCTTTGCCAGGGAAGGTGAGAAATAGCCAAAAATTGAAATCAACGTTTCAAGCCAACGGCTGTAGTAGAGGTAGAAGTGTTTATTCCTGGAATCTGGATTCAATTTACATTATGGTATTGAAATAATCTCTCACTGGACAACTACACGTCCTTCCATCTGACCTTGGGCCAATAGCCAACCAATGGGAACAGTTTATTGTCTACTGACCTAGCCGAACTTAAATATGGCTAATAATGTACAAGATATTGTTATATACTTGTTGAGTAGTTAATAGTCCTGAAGCGGAAAGAGGGAAATCAGAAGACCACCAGGTTTACGATGATACTTGTGTTTTCCAGACAAGGAAAATAAATGTCACACGAGTGTGAGTGAAATGGTACTAGTGTACGAAAAAGTGTGTGAACCAGAAGAATAAAGTGTACAATACAAAGTATATATGAAAATTGGTAATACACATGAACCAATAAGATAACATCTTACCATGACTGGTTGTAATGCCATATGGTAACAAGGTCATACATGTTTATTTAGTTAGTGGACAGACAAAAGCACACTGTCAGTTATAAATGGAATATCGATTCATATACATATAGCAAAATATAACAGACTGTCAAAACAAAACACACCATGTGGATACATATCAGATATGATGCGTTTTACCTTAATAGCAAGGTCCATTACCAATTTCTCTTATCTTCTGCCGTCGCAGGGTTACTACTATAGGCTAGGGAAGGTTCAGGTGTGCATCAGTCGGGAATCAAACCTCGAAAATGTGCGTGGCAGGTGCGCATTCTACGCCTGAACCAGAGATGCAAGAGGAACAGTTACTACTCCACAAACACTGTCTGCATTCCTGAAGCTTGCTTTATCTTATAATAGTTTAACACATAAATAAAAATCAATACGAAGTTGATACAACTGGAATGGAGGTCGAAATTTTACATTGAGTCACAACAGTAAGCACGATAGTGATAATGCTGTCCAACGGACTGATTGGCGATGAAATCTCAACACGGATCCAAAAATCTCGAGCTGCTTTCGCTGACTTACACCATCTCTGGCGTAGGCGTGACATCCGGCTATCAACCAAGGGACGTGTATACTGCTCAACAGTCCGCTCCGTCCTTCTCTATGGCTCTGAAACATGGCCAACACGAGTTGAAGACATGAAAAGGTTGACTGCTTTCGATCATAGATGTCTGCGATCCCTGTCTCACGTTAGGTGGTGGTATAATAAGGTAAGTAATGTTGGCGTTAAGCGTAGAGTGTTGGGCAAAGAGGGAAAATCAATCGACGAGGCTATAAGGTTACATATATTGAGATGGCTGGGTCACGTGCTGCGCATGCCTGCTTAACCATCGCCTCCCCCGACGGGAATTACTAGCTGATATAGGTGCAGGTTGGAAAAGGGTAAGTGGTGGCCAAACAAAAACATGGCCTCATCAATCCATGAAATCCTTGACAGTTAAACTGAGTCGGTCAGGTAGGGAGATGCAGACTTCCGGGTTGGGGCCCTCGGGACCCTAAGAATCAATGGCTGGAGACAATAGGTGACATGGCTGAAAATCGTTGTCAATGCCTATCGCAGATGTATTCAGTCTCTGTAATCTCTCATATTCCTTTCTACCATTATCCATTCTGTTTCACTCTTATACTTGTCAAACTCTATTGATTCTCTTCGCTCATCATCTTGTCTACCTTTGTGTGCTATTTGGAAGGTGGCAACTCGAACTGCTGCACTTCGGTGCCAAGTTCTATGTTAAATACAGACAGACAGAATGCTCTCCAACATCATTTGTTAAATGACTTAAAAGTCACATAAAAGAAAACGCATAGAGCGAAGAGTTACTCCCTTCAGCAATATATCATTCTCGAGCTGTACAATCGCAGGCATATAATAAATTCTCATGGCAACAAAAATAATATTTCCATAGATGTGTCATTAGAATTGTAAATTTCTCCAGACAATAAATTATGTAATATAAAAACTTTTTTATATTACATAATTTATTATATACTAGAGAAATAACGGCTGCGGATACATTTGCAATGCAACGAGAGTTTGCAGTCACGTGTATATTTGATACAGCACACAATAATACAAAATACTGGAGAGTGAGAATTCAGAACACATCACATATAGTGAGTGGATCAGTGTTTCAAGGTTAGAATGTCTTTCAACCACATACGTGGTCTAGAGTTCGATTCCCAGTCGACATACTATCAAGTCTCTCCTAGTTTACTAGCCGATGGCAATCCAAGAAAAATAGGGAAGGTTTGGGTGCGCGAGGCTAGCAATCCCCCGCATCGTATAAACAACACCAACGCTAATCAAACTTCAAAGCTCCAGTTTGAAGCCCTGAGGTCCACTACAATCTCAAAGGAATGAAAGAAACGAGGGATATATATATATATATATCATAAGAAGACAAGTACACGTAAAACTGTAAGAATCACTTACAACTGCACCACCTAGACTTAGTAAATCAACAAGATCTTGACGTGGTGGATTAGTATCCGAACCAACATAAATGACACCGGTATTTGAGAATAATGTATTCATTCTTTGCAGCCGTGATAAACGTGGTAATCCAAGTGGCTATAATAAAAATTCAAAGGGAAAATGAAACAGTATGATAGTATTACTTATGGGGTTTAGTGTGCTCTAATGACTGCACTAATGAAAAACTCAAGAGTATTAAAATATTACTAAGGAAAAATAGACATTGGGAAAATTTTTACTGAATATATATATATATATATATATATATATATGAATTTCACGCCAAAGCAAACTAGTAGGTAATAAGCTTCGAAGACGCCTATGACCTTAAAATTGAAATTCCCTGGTGACAGAATCAGTGAAATAATAACACAAGGCTTAAAGAAGACAGTAAAAAGGATATTCGATGCGGCAGACGTATACTGTCTTTTCACAATCACTCCAATTTTACCTTCAGGAATTAAAGATAGACTGCCTAATCCCGCCTCATTTATGTGTATCTATCAGTCTGACTGCTCCACTGGAGCCAGTTATGTTGGACGTACAATTTGTCGTGTTCATCATCATACTTCTGAACATCATCCTATGTTGTTAGGCAGAGGACAAACAAGATCTATTCGTAGCTCTGTTTCAGCCCACCTCGTAGATGCTGAACATAAAACCGACGGAAACAAGGCATTTAAAGTTATCTGCTGTATTCCAACTAATCTTGATTTTTGTTTTAGAAGTTCGTCTTCTGCATATAGCTGAAGTTGTCGCAATCCACCAAGCATATGTGTTCACAAAGAAGGTTAATTAATAAGTTCCACTCAGTCAGTTGTATTCAAAAAGTCTGACAAATTTCGACAGAATGCCCGTGTCAATCAGATGTTTAGAGGTTGCACTTTCAAACATTTTATCACTTTTCTAATGAAGATTGTTGGAGATATGTTCAGAAAATCTAGCAGATGTTCGCCTCTCAGTCCTTCTCATGTATTCGCTACAACAAGTGCGTGTGAATTGGGAAATACATTCGGAATTAATGAAAACAAAACACGTAGATCAGCGAAGAGTCTCTTTTCCACGGCCAATTCGTTTTCTTAGCTATGCAATCGCAAATATATGTGTGTTATTTTGTATGTATGTGTAATTTAAGTTTGTCAAACAAAATTACAATTGCTTAAGGTTATTTTAACTAAACAGGTGAAGATTGGTAGGTAATACAAGTTAAGAAAATTAGGTGTTAATGAAATTAGGGTAGTAACAAAGGTGATGAGATGTCACAAACAGTTGTTAGAAAAGAAGTTACGTGATAATATGAATAGTTTGATGATTGAGGTTTACTCAGGATGCACATAGGAAGAAAGTAGAGAATACGAAATTACGTGAGAGTTCTAAATGAATACAAGGATTATAAGCGACTAAAGAACAGGCAAACAAACAAAATCAAGTCATCGAAATCAACAAAGTTGTTCCCATGACAGTAGAAGTGGTGGAGCCAGGTACATCGGTCGTTCGACGCTCACCCTGTCCATGAAGATTCAAGAACACTATCCAGCATCGTTGTGAAAAGACAATAGTAGTGCAATAAGGAGTGAGATAATTGAACACCTGGTTAACACATTTGAACAAACGCCTCCTACTTCAAAGTAATCTACAGAGTCAAGAATAACCTATCAAAGGCAATACGGTTTCGTCTTCTTTGTATCGCTGAAGCTCTGACCATTCACATAGAAAAACCAGAGCTGTGCACACAAAGGAGGATTACTCAACCACTTCTACTGTACTGGTAACAACTTTTTTTCATTTTGATGACTTGATTTTGTTTGTTTGCCTGTTCTTTAATTACTTAGAAATCTTGTATTCATTTAGAACTCTTACGTAATTTCGTATTCTCTACTTTCTTCCTATGTGTATCCTGAGTAAACCTCAATCATCAAACTATTCATATTATTACGTAACTTCTTTTTTAACAACTGATTGTGACAACTCATCACCTTTGTTACTACCCTAATTTCATTAACACCTAATTTTCTTAACTTGTATTACCAATCTTTACCTGTTTAGTTAAAATAACCTTAAGCAATTGTAATTTTGTTTGACAGACTTAGTGTACACGTACATACAAAATAACACACATATATTTGCGATTGTATAGCTAAGAAAACGAATTGGCCGTGGAAAAGAGACTCTTCGCCGAACTACGTGTTTCGCTTTCATTAATGACTGGATGGGGATTATCCATGAATTAAAGCCTTCGGAGTTGACGTAAGCAGGATTACTTTTCTACTTTCAACTGTATTAGTGAGCATTTCGTGTTAGAAAAATGAATCAATCTAGCCGCGGGAAATGTTCTTTCCAATGAAGCTTGGATTCTTTTCTCGATTCTTGTTGATTCGCTTTTTCTTTTACAGACCAGGCAAATAAAAGAAACTGCTTTCTTCTCAACTGTTACGGACTCCCCCCTGTCTGGACGTTTCTTCTCTTTCATATTTCATTATGAACTTCTTGAGATAGCTATATTCTCCACTAGATTCTTTTCAGTAATCACAAACATTTTATCAATCTTGTTTTCTGAACAAAATATCCTCGCTTTGTTGAATGGCATTTTGACTAGACTCCGTTTGTAACCAGCTATGCAAAAACTGTGATAATTCAAAAGTATCGATTCGTCCACGTTTCTTCACCACAGGTTGTTTTTTTCTGTGGCTCCATTAATTCTTCGTTTTATGTCAAGATCCATTGAGTATTTCAAAGATGGTTAGCGCATGGTCAACATTACTGCAAACAATAAATGTACCATCGATAACCTCTGCAGAAATATGTGGTCTTCTCCACTTCTAGTTTCAAATGTGTCCATTCAAAGATGGTGATGAATATGGCTCAAAGACGAACTCACAGTCACTAAATCAATTCTCCAGTATCGTTTGGTTATTGTATTAGAACTGAATATTCATTGAACAAAAGAGTGATAATTGCTTCAACTCATTTCCAGGCTGAGGAAATATTACAGACTGCTTTTAAATAATGAACAAATATCACATAATACTAGAAGATTGTCTAGAATATTCAACTGATTCAAGTCATATGAATCTTTGACACCGTGAACTGCCAACTTTTTTTCGGATTGGTTCCAACTTTTGTGTCAACCAGCTGGCCAGTTTATGGCAGTGTAAATTTACCATTATCGACCTCAAAGGCACATATGATTTGTGAACTTTGAGTAGATCAAACATGAACCTCTTCGTTTAAGTAGGTAGGTATTACTATTATTGTTCCCTTTAATTCCTAAAGGAAAATAGGGCTTCAGCCACACGTGTCCATTGCGTTCGGTTATCTGGTAACGTTTTCAACTGGCTCCACGTCTGCCCACATGCTTTCATCTCCTCTCCAAATGACCTCCTCCATGTTACCCCATCCACGCACTGACGACCGACTCGCCGATTCCCATCCGGGTTCCACTCGAGCTATGGTCTGGCGTGTGATATCACCTGATGGTTTGTTTTCTCAGAGTATGGCCAATCCATCTCCATTTCTTCCTGCATATTTGTTGCACAATCGGTTCCTGGATGGTTCGCTTCCAGAGATCCCTCCCTGTTGCTGATCTTTTCTGGCCGGTCATCTGATCTTGAGTAGTATTGAGCAAAGACAACTGTTAATGAAGGTTTGTGGTTTGTTTGAGGTGCTCTTTATGACGCGGCGCCAAGTCTCTGATCCGTATAGTAAGTAGCGCTGACTTCACATTGGAGCTGAAAACCCGGACCTTATTTCCATTTTCATGCTGAGTGTTACTGACCTCCACACAGACTTGAGAGAAATGAAAGCTTGCCTTGCTTTCCCGATCCTCGCTGCTTTGATATCCTCATCAGTTCTGTCCGCCTGTTGTTGAAACGATGCTTTCCATGTTGGTCAGCAAGTAAAGGAAGTTGCTTCTTTCAAATTTCTCCCATTTATGCTGGCTGATTGTTTTCTGCTGTTGTCGCTGTTGCTGTTGGCCAGGAATCTTAATCACCTCTGTTGTGTGTGTGAAGAGACGCATGTCAGAAAAAAAAGACCTCATGAACCTACTTTAGTAAGAACTTATTACCAGAATTATTATTACACATGTGGTATGAGATGTCTGCTAGCCAAAACTGATAGACAGCAATTTACGTCAATGTTTACATCCAAATCTTGGTCATGAGAAAAAAACAGTACAAAGACCAACTCAACAACCAATCACAGAACACTTAGTGTGGGAGGATACGATTAGCAGATATATGGTCTGACCTTCAAAGAAATGGCCACAAAGAGATGGCAGATTCACTTTCAGAGAGAGAACAACCAATCAGAAGACGCTGTTTCTCTGCTAACAATAACCTATAATAATGTACATAAAAATGTATAAATACCTCTTGATATTTTCAATGAACGATCTGTTGCATGGCCCTTGTCTACTGTCGTTACACATATATCTTTTTCCCACACTGCGTGATTAGTATTATCATTATTATTATTACTACTATTAATGTCTAAAGTAGTATACTCACTTTGAACAATGATTCTGATAGCCACATATTTGATGCTACTGACTCACGTATCCAATCTGTTGTACAAATATGCACGCCTTGAATCAGTGCATAGAATAATTTCAATGTTCGTCGACACGGCACTTGAGTAATTAAATGTGTAAAGTGCGGTGTAGCACAGGCTCGACTAGCTGTACCAGGTCTTACAGTATTTGATCTTCTTGAATCAGAATTTGCAGCAATTGAATTACTCGGCAGTTTTACAATAACATAATTCTTTAAATTACTTGATTTTAATAAAGCAGTTAACACTTGTTCATCTCTAAAATATTATTAAAACAAAATAAAGAAAGGAAAATATAAAAACAAACAACAAACACTACTTTATTATCGCTATTAGTGGTATTCTTAAGATAAAATTGGCATATTATGGGCACTGACAGAGGCGCCAGACAAAGCCTCATAGTTTGTACAAGGCTTTGAACACTAACCTTGACACCCAGATCGCAGCAGGTGGCCGTCTTAAACGATTAAGCCCCCCTCCCCGGACTTTTAACCTGAAGTCTGACCCACAAGGCAGTCAAGTACCATTAGGTGCTATATTCCGATAGATCCCGCTGACCATACGCCATTGGATCCTTTCAAATTCTGGAGCCCATGTAGGCCATAGGTTTGGAATCAAGGTTCTCCAGCACCCTTAGGTAAACCAGCATGTCCACTTGTCCTGTATAAATGCCAGACGTCCACATTCAGCATTTCACTTTTGCATGAAGGCAATGAATGGGATGCCTGCAAAGCCTCAGGATGGTCGGGGTGGGTGCCTTGCGCTGCGGGTTGGCCACCCCTCCGTACACCTCTAGAAAATGCTCCCATATGACCGGGCGTCTTACATAGCCTCTCCTGAGGAAGTCCTACTCACTGCCTTCACGTGGCGGAGGTGTTTTTCACCGAAGTGAGAGGGCAAAAGCGGATGCCCGGCGCTCTTCACCGGGTTGACTGTCCATTGGATGACAGTCTAGGGGAGACGGCTAAACCCTGATTCCAAACCTCCAACGACTGGAGTATGAAGCTCACCGGCAGACGTATGGACAAAGGGCTTATTGGATGCCCTGGATGTCTGGCCCCATTCAAAAAGGCGTATGAACCGGACTCCGGTCACCGGCTTCCAATGGATAGTGGAATCCCTACTCCACTTCTAGTGCCTTGTAGATCACACTTGGTTGTGTAAAGGCTACAGCTGCACTCTCAAACAAAAGGCTGAGCTATGCTGGGGACATCACTCGTACCCAATTCCCATGAAACTTCATGAGTTCATGAAGCCGGCTCATCCTCCCGTAGGAGATAGCCGAAGTAAGGTAAAGTAAGTAAGTAATGAATGGGATTTACCTATCGCAGGTTACGTACGTACGCGTGACCACATGAGGGTAATTCGAGAAGAAGATCGAAGTCTACCCACTGTCAACTGTAACACATCGTTTATGGGAGTCATCGGTAAGTGTACATAGATTGGTTGCCTTATGCAATAATAGGAATAATAATAACAGTTGAATTGAGCGTATACTTTAAAGTTCATACACTAAATTAATAACCACATCTTTTATACAGGGAAAGTGCTATTAACTGACTTCCTACATATCCATAAGTTGATTACCAAACTTAATTGGTGAATAGTGACTAGCAGTGGAATCCAGGATGCGCATTTCGTCCTATACTATAGGCACTGGGTTCGAGCCTCGGTGGGAATATCATCACTCACTGGGAAATGCAAGCACATCCACTGGCTGACGAGTCCCAAATAGGACGAAATGCGCGTTATCTTGGATTCCACTGCTAGTCACCATTCACCAATTAAATTCTAATTAAATGTCCAGATATCGTCGCAGCATCTGCACAAGAAGCCGACATGCCAACCTGAGACCGAGCACTTCGGTGCAATCAATCGACGGGAAAATCTAAAATTCATTGATTACGAACCTGTTGTCCAATACTCCCTGTTAGTTTTCCAGTGGTTCTCTAACTAATGTCAGCTCATGATCAAAATCCTTCAACGTCTAAAAATAAACTCACTTGCTTTTCTATGCAGATAGCAAGCAATATAAGCTACATCTATTGTATGAAGGTTGGTGATACTATCTGGCTGGCTGCTCAAACCTCAGTAGGTGGAGCAAACATTGAAAATGTAATTGGAAGTTAATCACCTACACCAGTGAGCCACAGATGGACACACTGCCAGATCTACTGTTAAACAATGAGCGACATATACACATCCGTGACCAGTAAGGTACAGCAAGTTGAAGATGAGCCAGCAGTAACTCATCGAAGAAGACATTGCGAAGTGGTCGCGTTATGTCGTGAATTGGCAGAAGTTAGAATTCATGCATTGACTATTGGATTGGGTCCCAGTGGCTCAATGGTCTACGAGCTCGCTAGCCTTGTAACCAGAAGGTCCTGGGTTCGAACCCTGGCGGTGGGTGAGTACTGATGAAGAGTCCCAGACAATGACGAAGCAGCTCTCCAGTACTCCCAGGCGGTTTTCCATGACTGCGAACAGAGACCTGTACGGAGGCCTCTAGGATGACATTCTCAGCACATGTCCAAGCCACCGATGTTTCCAGATGGTGACGACACTCAATGAATGGTGATCTGCACTGTGTTCAACATATACACGCCGCCGAACCTCAGAATTACTCACGCGATGATGCCATCGAGCGCAAGCAATCCTGCGGAGACAGCGATGATCAAATACACGCAGAGTCGCCACACATCCTCAGCCACACGTGGTCTGGGGTTCGACCCCCGACCACTGAAGCACTTCTCAACCTCACTTAGCCAGTAGTAAGTGTGGTAAAAAAAGGTAAGGGTGAGTGTGAGGCTAGAGAATGCTGCTGAAACTTCTAATCTAAAGCTTCAACCCCTATGGTGTACTCAGAACGAAAAGGAATAAAAATTATTTTTTTTTAAATAATTGTCGAATAACAACAAACATGTCGTTAGGCTGGAAAATTACGAAACTCTACTTACTCTGATTGAGTCCCACTAAATACAATACTGATCTTAGTTGGAGTGTTTACAGAAGTCGATGGAGATTTCATTGTAACATCTAAAATAGAATTTTTACACAAAAAAATATTTCACTAGACAATCAAAAACTGAAATGAATAGTCTCCAAAAAGTGTCAATGAACTTAATTAAAAAAGTGTAAAGGACAGAAAATCCCCATACTGAATACGACGGGAAGTTTTCAAAAGCTACACAATTATATATTTATGTTCAACAAAGTATTCATGAAACTAATAATGTTTCCCTATAGTTGGTTTGTAAGGATTAGATTTTTTTTTTTAACGAGTTGATCATGGATTGATATCACAGTTAGAGAACCATTGAAAACAAGCTGCTGTTTCATCCCACTAGTTTGGGAATCATCGGTAGTACGCACCCACCAACACGGTTCGAACCCAGAACCTTCCGGTTACAAGGCTAGCGAGCTCATATACCATTCAGCCAATGGGACCCGATGTTTTCAAAAATGTATTACGTAGTGTGAGATGTAATCTAGAAGGGAATGACTAAATGGAGATGAAAACAAGGAAGAATTGAGTTACGCAACAGATGTGGAAAATTATCCAATCAACTGATGTTTAACAAAATGGACAAAAAAGCTAAGGGAATACGATGAAGTGTTTATAAAAAATCTGTATAAGAAGTACAGTATTCAAGTGTGTGTTTACAGGACTTTGATTTCAAGATTCATCCTGAAACCGACTTCCATTAGGAGACGATTGAAAACCTTGCAGTACTCATCAACCGTTTTTCTCTGGTTTGGAGCTTTTCATAAGTACAGTATGCACTTATGACAGACCCTACTGCTTGGGATCGAACCCACGATCTTCAAGTTACAAGTCGAGCTCTCTGGCCATTCAGCAGATGGGACGGAGTCTAATGGCTGATGAATCCTAACTTATGTTGATTCGCTATTATAACTGAGAATGGCCGACGAGCTCACATTGTAACCTCGAGTTCCTGGGTTCGACGCCAAGTAGTGGGATGATGAATGAGTACTGTTGTGGTGAGAGCAGGCTGCTAGCCGATTGGTTGGCACTAATCTACGTTAAGGTCTAGGTCACTAATATGGGCCGTGAGAAAATATGAACAAGCCTGAGTCAACAACCAATCACAGCAAAGTTAACGTGGCAGAATATGATTCGCAGAGAGAACTCTATTTGTCAAGGAATCCCGAAACAACCAATCAGAAGCCTGCGTTTGTCTACCTAAACAACCAATCAGATGACTGCGCTTGTCTATAATAATGTAGTTGAAAGATGTATAAATACGTGTTGATTTTCATAATAAAACGATCTGTTGCCTGGCCCTTGTCTTCTGTTGTTACATTTGGTGTCGCTGCCTACCGACAAATGAAAAGCCTATACCCTGCAGTTTTTGATGGAGACATATGGATCTTCGGGCAGGACTTCAAGGCTTCTGCGCAGTTGAGTGGCGTTCAAGATCTGCCAGCGATGGAGCTGCTACTTGAGACGCTGCTGGGAGGTCGGGCGAAAGCAGCATATGAAGGTGTGGGCCGAAGTATGGACGAATGTTCGACAGGGTCAGGCAAACAGTTTCCAAAGTGGGAAGGACCATGTATGGTCACTTCGAGATGGGGTTACGCAGACACAGTCGCAATGGCGAACAATGAGAGGCGCGTGAACGTCAGCGAGCTCCAGAAATGGATACAGCGAGACAAGCCAACGATGACGCCTGCACCAAGTAGATCAAGCCGACTTCAGTCGCACGTATTTGACGGGGGGACGAGTGTGGTGAGAGCAGGCTGCTAGCCGATTGGTTGGCACTAATCTACGTTAAGGTCTAGGTCACTAATATGGGCCGTGAGAAAATATGAACAAGCCTGAGTCAACAACCAATCACAGCAAAGTTAACGTGGCAGAATATGATTCGCAGAGAGAACTCTATTTGTCAAGGAATCCCGAAACAACCAATCAGAAGCCTGCGTTTGTCTACCTAAACAACCAATCAGATGACTGCGCTTGTCTATAATAATGTAGTTGAAAGATGTATAAATACGTGTTGATTTTCATAATAAAACGATCTGTTGCCTGGCCCTTGTCTTCTGTTGTTACACTGTAAATAGTTCCAAATTAGGACGAAACAGCCGCCCATTGCTCCATGCTGGTCAATGGCTCTCTAACTGACATCAATATGTGGACAGACTTAAAAAAGATAAATTTTGTCAAAAGAAAATCAGTGTGAAAATGATAACAAACAGTAAAACTTACCACTTTTGCATTTCTCCACAGGTGTTAAACGAAACTCTTCTAGGCTATTACGGTTGCTGATAGGCTGTTTTTTTTAAAAAAAAAAAACAGAAAAAAGCAATGAAACAAAACACAGTGAATACGACTCATTGTGCTAATAACAATCATTCAAAATGAGAGCATACAGTCTCTAATGTTAGGCTGCTTTGTTAGGTCAAAAAATCAAACATTGAATTTAACACTTTAAAAACATCATTTAGGATGTTGATGTCGTGTCTTGGCATTAACGCAGCTAAATCGGAAGGCAAGGAAGGGTTATTGAGTGACAATTTGATCCGTCTTCACTGAGAGGTGACCACTGAAAATATTGTGGTGACAGCTGTCTACTAGTCGAAGTTGTAGACACCAATTTACGTCAGTGTCTACGTCCTAAATCTTGGTCATGAGAAAAAACAAGAACAAAGCCTAACCTTGAGGAACTCAACAACCAAACTGATATGTATCCACATATATATGTATGTGTGTGTGTGTATGTTGGTCTCTCTTTCTGTTTGCTCTCTTAGTCTGTGACCATTTCACTTGTGTGAACTTGTCTCCTTTATTAATGTGTATTCTCCTTATATTATATTATATATAATATGAGTGTTTGTTGACAGTCCGTTTCTTAGTGACATATATCCATATATGGTTGTTGACATGTCTGCTATATTCGCTATGTATATTTGGATCGACACTCCATTATAATTAGCCATTCATGTTAAGACTGTCTAATGATTTGTTCCCACGCTTTGTCTGGAACATTCATATATATTTCGCACACACAATTTGTGTGAACTACTTTACTTACTTATCACCTTGGTGTGAGACCATTTATTTTTCGTCTCCTTGTGTTTTGACAATAGAAGTATCATCGCAAACCTAGTGGTCTTCTGATTTCCGCCTTTTTGCGTCAGGACTATTAGTTTCTCGACCAGACCATAACAATAATCTAGCGACGATACATAACACAAACACAGCAGACTGCGTGGGCGGATACGATTAGCAGATATATGGTCTGACCTTCGAAGAAACTACCACGAAGAGATGACAGAATAACTTCCAGTGGGAAAACGACCAATCAGAAGACTCTGTTTCTCTGCTAATAATAACGAATAATAATGTACATAAAAATCTCTAAATATCTCTTCACTTTCTCAATAAACGATCTGTCGCCTGATCCTTGTTTTCTGTCGTTACTATACTACATGTGTTCATCTACCTATACTTATTTCAACTAAACGAAGGGCTGGACACCGCATGACAAAAATAGTATCGTCAGCCAAGGACAACATGTTAACAGATTGAATTCTAAGTGATTGGACTAAATCAAGGCTAACTTATAAAATTGACATCAAAAATTGCATCGATCCATGAAGTCTTCAACAAGTCGCCCGGGTAGCATAGGGAGATGTTCTTGGGATTTTTGTAATGTCGGCAAATTTTCGTGAAATGCTTCAAAATCGTTCATGTTAACACCATATTGTTTTCACTGTCCAACATCTTCGAAGTTTTGAATATCCTAAAATAATTCTCATCCAGTTACTGTCTGTCTCTGTCACACACACACACACACACTCACCACTGGCATTACAGTATCAGTACATCTCTAGAGTATTGTTTCTGTCGTGCTATTATGAAGTCTAGTAAGAAGAATTATTCAGTGGAGATTTCTATTCAAAGAACAATTTCCATCCTAAAATTAAATATCTTAACACTAAGAAAACATTAGTTCATTGACTGTATGCTGTCTCGAAGCTCTAATGTGAGTTTAACAAAAACGACTAGTTGTTGAAGCCAATCAAATGTGGACAAACTCCAACCGAAATGTTTCTCTCAACTGTGTCTACAAATTTACATGTACGTTTCAAAGCACATACAATGGAAGAATAGAGACAAGGCTTATTGTCTGCATTTCTGAACATATGCCAAAGAACCCGAGAGTAATTGACTGACTGATTTCAACATAGAACTTTGTACCGATGTGCAGCAGTTCAAGTCACCACACTCCATCCATGTAGCACACAAAGCAAAAGACGAAAGTAAAAAGGAATGCAAAATAGAGACAGTAGACAGGGATATGAGACAAGAGCAGTAGTAGTAACGAAGAACAATATAGTTTCATTGGGTATTATAAGTCATCTGATTCATCTGAGCCAGCCACTGAAAACGATTTTGAGCCATATCACCGATTGTCTACAGCCTTCAGTGGTGTTTACCGTCCCAAAGACCCCAACAAGATGCATCCACTCCCTGTGACTTATGATCTTCAATGAAACTGTTTTGTATTTCTTTATTACTCCTTTGTCTCACACCTCTGCTCACTGTTTCTATTATGCTTTTCTTGTACTTTCTTCTCTTGCTTCGCGTGCTACACGGAATGTGGCGACTTGAACTTCCGCACATTTGTGCAAAGTTCTATGTCGAAAACAGACAGACAACAAGACAGGAAGTCTACAGGTTTCTACGTGGCTGACTGGTTAAAACTTAATTGTGGATTTCAGTGACTGATGAAGGCGTGTTTTAGTTTGACAACAACCGCTGGCTCTTTTCCAACCTGTCCCTATGTCAGCGAGCATTGCCCGTCCAGGAAGGCGATAGCTAGGCATACGTAACACATATCCTAGCCATCTCAGTCGATGTAACCTGAGAGCAAAAGGTTTACAGACACTAAACAGTGCGATTCTACACCACCTATTGGACACTATTCATATTATGGGCAATCTGAAGGCGTTCAAAATAATCAACAGGTAAAAGAAACACAGCCTGCTTCGCTTTGGTGAAGAAATCCCCATCAAATGATTAAAACTAATGCAATATACGCAGAGAGGGAGACAGTGATAAATCTCTTGTACTAACAAAGTATACAAGTTTTATTAAGTCCTCTTCATCTGAACACTACTCACCCTTCAGCTTATTGCTATTTTTATAAAAAAAAACCATTTTCTGTAATTACATAGCCTACTATACCATTCATTGTTGTACTCTTTCTAGTTAAACTTTGTTTCTAACCAAAAATGTTGAACTCTCTCCTCAAGAGTATTAGTTCAATTATCCTATACAAAGTGAATCATTTTAATGCTTAACAACTTGCATCATTCCCGAAATTAATGTTACTTTTAGTTCCTCGTCATCGCGAAAAAAAAAGTGTGTTCAGATCCTTAACGAAGTTTATGCTTTTTTGATTGTTCAGGTTATAGTCAGCTAGCTTGAGGCTAGCAACCCCATGCCGTAAAAATAAACACCATTGCTAGCGAAACCTCAAAACTGTAGCTTGGAGCCCTATATTCCACTGGGAATAAAGAAAATTTCAAAAAAAATATTTTCAAGTGTTGGTTTTCAGGGATTTGATCGATTTCAAGTTTGACCGTTACCTGACTTTAAGTAGAGAACCAGTGGAAACTAGAGAGTACTGGGCAGTCGTTTCGTCCTTGTTTGGGAGTCTTCGGCAGTACGCACCCATAGCCTCACTGCCAGGGATAGAACCTAGGACCTTGTAGTTACAAGGCGAGTTCCTCAATGGTTCACCTAATTGGACAAAGTTCAATGGCCCATGAATTCTAACTTCTGCTAACGTCATCAGAGAACATCTTTCCTCATATCCAACTTGTTGGACTCCACTGGTCACAATTTTCCCCTGGAACTTCAGGCAATTTCATCGTGTATTCAGTCACCGGATCAATGTCCAAGTGTTGGTTCTCAGGGATTTGATTTAAACAGTTGTTCGTTCAGAAGTCCCTGGTTCTCAATGGTTATCTAACTAAGGTCAGCTAGTGATCCAAAAGTCATTAGCGTATTAAACAAGTGATCGGTGAAAAAATTATGACGGTCATGGATGCTTCAGTTTTAAACTTCATGTTTGGTGAAGTCCGTATTACAGCATTTTAGTCTCCTGAAAATTCTTCTCTATCATGAAAATTTCCCTCAGGTTACCACACACACACACACCCGACTCCTGAATGTACTACTGAAAACATTTAAGGTAAATTTTAGCAACTCACTTTTATGTGACTAAGAGATATCCGTTTCGATTTTCTACATATTGGTGTGGTCACCTGGTCAGTGCGTATTCTCTGTTTCCAATCAGAAGACGATGGTTGTTGTGTAGGACTGAGTGCTGCCATTGAACTACGCAACCTTTTCCGAATAGGACTGGGTGCTAGCGATGATGTCTGAACAGATTTCATGTTTTGATTATCGTCTGATTTCATTAGCAGGACAACAGGAGACATTGTTTCATCTAAATCCACTGGTAAACGTGGACAAACAGGTCGCGGGTTTGATGGTGTATACAATTTTCTATTTGACTTTATTTCGCCACAAGGGAGTTTATTCAAATCATGCGTGTCTTTATGATCACCAGAAGATGACGGTAAACGTGGGTTCTTTTCCTTTGCTGGCGTTTTTTTCACTTTTACCTTGCCAACACTTTTACTGTTACATGGAGTTCTATTTGTCAATCGTTTTGTAGGTAACTGTTTAGGCGTTTTATTCCTTTTATCTGGAGTAGACTTTAATCTTGGTTCACTAAGGGATTTATTATCTATTGCAAAGGCTTTTCTGGGTGTTTTCGGTGTACCTGTAGTGTGTAAATTCGAGGATTTCTTATTGGGGGTGATGAATAAGTTAGGTGATTTTCTAATCTCATCTTTACGTTGAGTAACATTGGTATTATTAGTGTTATTACCATTATTATTATTATTGTTATCATTACGTTTCATAGTCTCCTCTTTCTGTTTCTTTTTAGCACTGAAAGACTTTGGTTTACGCATTCTACTCACAAAATTCACTAGCAAATCTGGAGTAAGAGGTGCACTAATTGAAAGCTTTTGGGTTAATTCAATGGATTGTCTTTTCAACTTTTGTCCTTTACTATTATTATTATTATTACTTTCACAGTTACCAGTGAGTGTAGATGATTGTTGAACTCTTGGAATAATTAATACATCATTTTGTGAATACGTTTCAGGATTAATTAAACGAAATCTGTGAGAGTTGGTTTGTTCTACATTAGTTGAAGGAATAATAATCTCTGCCATCGAATCATCTAAAATACTGCTGGTGTCTAAAGTATCTAGTTTTTGAGATTTACGGGGAATAGGTGATAAAGAACGATGGAATTCTACAGCCGTTGTTGATTGATTTACTGCATTCTGTGTAGATGTGATCATTGAGTCAACTAAAGCTAAACAAAACAAAAAGAAAACAAAGAGAAGTGGAGGCATGAAACAAATGAGATATGATAATCAAACGCTAATACCAAGTTTGTCGAAAGCTAATCGATCTGTAGAGTTTGATCACAAATCAAGGAGAGAGAAAGAGAGAGAGCCAGTGGAGCTATCTTTCATAAATTAGAGGCTCCACATCCCTCCTCTTTTTTTCATGCGCTATAGGGAATACAAGTGGAATGAAACCAGCAAAGCAGCATCTATATTTCAAAGAAATGAAAATAAATCCTACTAGTTTTGAAATTGCCACTATTTTGATGGTGTCATTCCAAATACCCCACCCCCCACCGCTCCGTATGTTTTTATATGAGCAGTAGGATGACTCAAAAATATGTATAACTTTTCTCACACCTTACTACTTACTAGTGTATATAAGTACACATAGTGTTTATGATGAATAAAGCAAGCCATTTTCGTAACTTTCATGTCCACTTGTAAGGTTAGTCAATTATCACGTTGTTTTTTATGAGCATCAAGCCAACCGGACGTGGCTTTAATGTAAGAGTAGAATTTAGACACTTTGGTAGAATATGAATTCAGAAACAGATAAGCTTAACTGATATAACACAGTGAAAGAATATCAGTAACTGGATTGCTCTTGACACATCATTCAGTAATCAATATTGTTTTTACGAGTTGATCACGGATCACTTAGAGAACTATTGAAAACCAGAGGGTACTGGACAGTGGCTGATTGGTATACGAGCTTGCCTTGTAACCGGAGGGTCCTGGGTTCGAATCCCAGTGGGTGCGTACTGCCGATGATTCCCAAATTAGGATGAAACGGCAGCTGTCCAGTACTCACTGGTTTTCAATGGTTCTCTAACTGATATCAATCCGTGGTCAACTCGTAAAAACATAACTAACCCTTACAAACCAAACTATAGAAAATCAATATTGTATTACTGTGCGTTATATTAGATAAGCTTATCTAGTATGGATGTGATCTTAACAATTAACTTTTCGAATGACTGACCTTTGCTGGAGCCGACTGATAGCTGCTAACTTGACGTGGTGGTCGGGCTTGCATGCTGCAATGACTCAATGAACGGCATTGGCTGGAACGAATGTCCCTACAGGCCTCCTACCGTATCAGAATAGTCATTTAGGTAGCGCTTGAACTAAAAGTAGTTACCATCACATCATTCACACTATGTTGAAATTCTGTGGGGAAAATCGCACTGCTGAAGAATAGGGAAGTAACAGTAGTAATTTGCCTCCCTCAGATGACCAGCAATCCAGTAATGCTGTCTCTCCGCTGTGGAGAGGGGGGAGGTTAGAAAAGATCGACACCAAAAATTGTATATTCCAGCTTACAATGGGGCGATAAGATTTTAATGCGGGCAGAACCCCAAAAACCACTTCAAACAGGCCATACGTGACCACCAGCCTCAAGCAGTTGTCCCTCAGGCTCTGCGCAGTCACACAAAACTAGTGTTCCTTCTGCTTCATGTATGCGCCGAAGAAATCAACTTATACAGTGTGAGCAGCCGGAAATTAAAAACCACCTACACACTTTCTGTGATGGATATTAGCACTATATTTTTTCCTTATTGGCGCCTGTCAAAAAGGCATATTCAACAAAATCTTCAGGAATCTTATTTCTCACCAAGAATTCAAAAATGCATCACCTGGAGCTACTTTTACCACAAAGCTATATTTAGGACACAACTGAAAGTCTGCAAAAAGACTTTGTGAATCATGATATGAGGAAATAATGACACTATTCAGCTTGATATAATATTAATAAGACATGGGATTAGTGGTAGAGTGTAATTCCACAATAGAATAATAATTTTGGGTGATATAGTACACAATGATGTGCTTTTTGAAGCCACTTTATAGCCCACATTCATATCAAGGTGGCATTAAAATAAACTGACAGAATTTGGTCAAGGCAATCGGCTACGGAAATCCTTGACCTAGGTTTCGTGCTTGTTGGCACTCACCAGTCGGTCAGCAAGGCGTATCTGCAACCAGCTTGAAGGAACTCATTCGCCTTCTGAGATTCGAACCCGCCTCACCCAGTGAGTCCTGCAGTCAGAGACGTTACCAAGGAGCCAGCTATTCGGGCTCGCGATTGACCTCATGCCATCTAATATCATCAAATCAATGTGCACCGTGATGGCGAGCTACTTAGTGGCATGGTGGCCACATTGCAAATCTGACTGATAGAATTCAGTCTGCACCAAAGAAAGGACTAGACACATGACACTAGTTACTAGTGTCTAATCAAAGGTTTGATAATTTCTATACTGCTTGGGTGGACAACGCGCGCGCTTTTCGACTATTACGCTACATTTTGCTCATTAATAAAAACTCTTATTACTGTAAAATTTTATGCAAAGTGTTTGCGGAAATTATCACAATTATTAACCTTTCGAACACTGAATCCAAAAAATACAATCTTATTGACAGATAATACACATAACCCACTGTTTGGATTTGTGGAATTTTTAAACATAAACACATCTATAATTGTATATATTGTTGGATTTATATGTTCAAGTTGCTCCAAGTCAGTGAGTTTATGGTTAAGATATCATTTTAGTTAACTGTACTGAACTATATTGCATGTTGTCTTATTGTATAGTTGTCGTCGCTTTTTGCCCTTTTTTCTGTGAACTGTTTCCTTTGTTGATGTTGTTCTCATTGTTTGTCCGTTATTTTCTGATTTTGAGGGGAGCAACCCAAAAAGTTGCTTCTCTCTAAACTTTTACTTAATGTAATCATTCTTTTCTCAGGCGTGAGGCTAGCAACCCCACCCTGTAAACAAAAATTGCTAAAGAAACTTCAGTATGATGAACCTCCTTGCACCAAAAGAAAAAGTCTGTGTAGGAACATGGAACGTCCGAACTATGTACGAGACTGGAAAGCTGCCCAGATCGCCAACGAGATGAAAAGATACGGAATACAAGTGCTGGGAATATGTGAGAGCAGATGGAATGGGAGTGGACTCACCAAATTGTCAACAGGTGAGTCAGTGATCTACTCCGGTCACCCAGAAGATAACCACACGCACACCGAGGGCGTGGCTATCATGATGTCACCAACGGCAACGAAAGCCCTGATACAATGGGAGGCGATTTCGTCCAGGATAATGACCGCCAGGTTCAACTCCAAAGGAAGGAAAGTGTCAATCATACAATGTTATGCACCCACAAACAACGCAGACCTCGAGAAGAAAGAAGAATTCTACAGGCAACTACAGGCAACAATGGACAATACTCCAGCTGGCGACATGAAAATACTAATGGGAGACATGAACGCCAAACTGGGACCAGACAATACGGGAAGGGAACTCATCATGGGTAGAGAAGCTCTAGGAGAAATGAATGAAAACGGAGAACTCTTCGCCGACTTCTGCGCCTTCAACGAACTGGTGATTGGTGGCAGTGTATACAAGCACAAAGATATCCACAAGGCTACATGGGTGTCACCAGACGGGCAAACCAAAAACCAAATCGACTTCATCTCAATCTCAAGGAAGTGGAGGCGCAGCCTACTGGACACAAAAGCAAGAAGAGGAGCAGACGTTGGCTCAGACCACTATCTCGTACAAGGGACAATCCAAATCAAATTAAAAGCTTTCAGGGAATCAGGAGCTGCAGATAGACCACAAGCCAAGTTCAACACTCAAAAGCTGAAGGACCAGGCTACAAAGGACATCTTCATTGCAAGCATAAAGGACAAAGCCGAGACACAAATCAACACTAGCGAAAAGGTCGGCGTTGAAAAGCACTGGAACAACTTGAAAACGGTGTGGAGCCAAACCTGCATAGAAATTCTAGGCAGAAAAAAGAGACAGGACAAACAGTGGCTCACTACGGACACTTGGAAACTAATAGAAGAGAGAAGGACAGTGAAGCAAAAGATTATCCAGTGCACTGACGAGCAACAAAAACAGGAGCTGAATGCAAGCTACAATACACTGAACAAAAGAGTGAAGAAAAGTGCCAGGGAAGACAAAAGAAAATATTATGAAACCATGGCAAACGAAGCAGAACAAGCTGCAGGCAAAGGAGACCTCGCCACACTCTACCAAACAACTAGGAACCTTTCGGGCAAACGTTCGACACAGATTAAGCCAATAAAGGACGACAATGGAAAGTCAATCACCAAAGAGGTGGAACAGAGAAAGCACTGGGTTGAACACTTCAAAAGACTTCTAAATCGTCCGCCACCTACAACACGTCCAGCAATACCAACAACGGAAGCAGAACTACCAGTGAACACTGACCCCCCGACGAAATCAGAAGTCCTGAATGCAATCAAGATGCTTAAAACTGGGAAAACACCGGGACCAGATGGAATCCCAGCAGAGGCTTTGAAAATAGACCCAGAGACAACAGCGGACTTGATGACACCACTACTGGAGAAGGTGTGGAAAGAGGGCAAAGTACCCGAGGATTGGAAGAACAGTTACTTATTCAAACTTCCAAAGAAAGGAGACTTAAGTCAATGTAAAAACTGGCGTGGAATTATGCTTCTGTCCATTCCAAGCAAGATACTAAGTCGCATCATCCTGGAGAGAATCAAACAAGCCCTAGATGAAAAACTTCGTCCGGAACAGGCTGGATTCAGGAGAAACAAATCATGTATTGATCAAATCGCCACTCTACGGATCATCATTGAACAAAGCTTGGAATGGCAGTCACCTCTCTATCTCAACTTCATCGACTTTGAAAAGGCCTTCGACAGCGTCGATCGAGAGGTCATTTGGAAACTACTTCGCTACTACGGGGTCCCATCGACAATTATACACCTCATCCAACAGTTATACGACAATGCTGCATGCCAAGTAATCCACAACGGGAAACTTACGGAAGCCTTCGAAGTGAGGACGGGAGTGAGGCAAGGCTGTCTACTATCACCAATGATCTTCCTGATTGCAATTGATTGGATAATGCGACAGACAACGGCAACCAACGAGGGAACAGGCATAAAATGGACTGACACAAAAGACTTGGAGGATCTGGATTTCGCCGATGATATATGTCTGATTTCCCATAAACTGGAAGATATGCAAGTGAAAAGTAACAAGTTGGCAGAAGAAGCATCAAAGATAGGACTTCACGTGAACATAGATAAAACAGAGATGATGAAGATTCCTAGCCAACATCAACAACAACAACAGACCACAATAAGCATAAATGGGAAGAACCTGAAAGAAACAACCTCCTTCACCTACCTGGGAAGCATCGTCTCAACTACAGGCGGAACTGACGAGGACATCAAAGCCAGAATCGGAAAAGCAAGACAAGCTTTCATTACTCTCAAATCTGTGTGGAGGTCAACAGCAATCAGCATCAAAAATAAGATCCGGATTTTCAACTCCAATGTGAAGTCAGTGCTACTATACGGATCAGAGACTTGGCGAGTCATAAAGAGCATCTCAAACAAACTTCAAACCTTCATTAACAACTGTCTCCGCTCAATACTCAAGATCAGATGGCCAGAAAAGATCAGCAACAGGGATCTCTGGGAGCGAACCAATCAGGAACCGATTGTGAAACAAATAGGCAGAAAGAAATGGAGATGGATTGGCCATACGCTGAGGAAACCATCAAGTGACATCACTAGACAAGCCCTCGAGTGGAACCCGAAAGGGAGGCGGCGAGTTGGTCGTCCAAGGGTGACTTGGAGGAGGTCATGCGAGGAGGAGATGAAAGCATGTGGACAGACCTGGAGCAGGGTGAAAAAGTTGTCAGAAAACCGAAGTCAATGGAGGTGCGCAGCTGAAGCCCTATGTTCCTCTAGGAACTAAAGGATACAATAATAATAATAATAAACACTGCTTGGGTATTGGACTACCGAAAAGTCTAGGAAGCACACCAAAATAAGCTGCATCGTTTTAGATGACAAATGAAAAATTTAACAGAAACAATGGTACTACAATAGAAAATATTAAGCATGAGAAGGAGAATGTCTTGATGAGGATTAATGAACACAACAGAAACTTCAAAGGTGGTAGTAAGTTAAAACAATTTTATGAACATGGAAGATTTTGAAGTCACGTAGGGAAGAATCTTCAAAGACTAACGCTTTGTATCTCAGAAATTCGCCAATGAAACACACTTCAAAATTGTCACAGATCTCATAGACTGATGTGAAAAATTTAATGTGATTACGCTTAATTATTATCATACAATCTAGTCCTAATACGATGAAATCGCTCGGTGAGAATACACCTATAGACTCCCTAACTCGCTGATTGAATCACACTCCATTTTATTAGCCCAAAATATTATCTATATACTCTAAATTACCTAGCGGTTTATCTAGTAACAGATCGATATATATATTCATTGGTAGAAGTGACTTTGAATTAGTTATCTCAAAAATTGATAAAATTATATAAAATAGTGAAACTGGTCACCTTTGACGGAAACCCTTTAGTTGTCATCAATTCCTGTGACAACTCTTCATAAAGTCATATCACGATTGAATAAATTCTAGCGCTGCCTTCATTAGTATAACATACTTTCTTTCTCAGGTCTCACCTAGGAGAGTTAACGACTACTGCAACAGTTTTTGGTCAGTAGAGCTGAGTGCTGCTTCCAGGTCAAGAGATTTGTTAGGTGTCGCAAGCCGGTGTATTTATGCTCTGCATTCTGTCATAAGATGAAGATCTGGTTGGTGTACTGTCGTCCAGGCCTGAAACCCAGCTGGTTTTCACAGATGTTGGCCTCAAACACGAACGTCTATAGACTCCAAAATCTTAAACACTGTTGGTTAAAGTGAATTTTTGATTATGCAATATTAAATCCATGGGAGTGTTGCTATCTCAAGATTTCCCCAAGATAGTACGTACTACAACTGAATGCAGAAGTGATACGGCATAATGCGTAACTTGACAGTGGGGGAGATTTAGATCCAAAGTATGATTAATGCATTTTAATCTTTAAAAGGGGTACACTGTGAAACACTAACAACCAGTACAATAATCTCAATGGTATGAAAGTCATAAATAATGAATTCAACATGCTTCTGTTACCTGATGGTCTGGCCATAAGGCTAAGAAACCATAATCCTGTTAGCCAAATATAATGCTGCACTGTACATCTGCTTAATGAAGAGATAAATGCAGTTATTTAATGGCTGACTGACTGACTCACTCACTGGTTTCAACACAGAACTTTGCACCGATGTGTAGCAGTTCAAGTCACCACACTCCCTCCTTATAGCACACAAAGCAAAAGACGAAAGTAAAAACAAATGCAAAATAGAGACAGTAGACAGGGATATGAGACAAAAAGAATACTAATAACGAAGAACAATATAGTCTTACTAGGTATTATAAATCACAAGGAGTGGATGCATCTGAGCCACCCATTGAGAACGATTTTCAGCCATATCACCGATTGTCTACAGCCACTGGGTTTTACCGTCCCGAGGAATTCAACCAGACAGAAGTCTACACCTTCCTACATCGCTGACTGGCTGGCTTAAACTAACTGTTATGGATTTCATTGACTGATACCATGTTTTGGTTTGACCGCCACTAGCTCTTTTCCAGCCTGATTCATCCTATGTCAGCTAACATTGCCTGTTTTCGAGGTAGGCGATGAGTAGGCATACGTAGCACATATCTTAACCATCTCAGTCTATGTAACTTCACAGCCTCGTCGATTGGTTTCCCCTCCTTAGCACTCGACCGATGCCTAACCCCAATATTGCTCACCTTATTATACCACCTTACACGGGATATAGATAGAACGCACGCACCTATGATAAAAGACGACTAGACTGCCTTTTCGTGTCTTCTACTTTCAATGGCTAGGTCTGACAACCATAAAGGAGGACGGAGCGGACTGCTTAGGAGTGCACACGCCCTTTGGTCGATAGGTAGCTTGATATCCCGCCTACACCAGAGACAGAGTAAACTGGCATAAGTGAAACTAGCCTTCTGTATCCATGCTGAGATTTCGTCAGCGATCAACCTGTTGGCGCTGGCTGATGCAACTTCCCAAATAAGTGAAGTGGTCAACTTGCTCTACCACTTCACTCTCTATTTCTAAGCTAGGAGTCAACCTAGTCTAGTTCTGTAGCCTGATCTTATAGTTGACAGGAGCGGGAGAATCTCATGCCAAACATTCGGACATCGCTGCTCCTCCAAGTGATCAGAAGACTCTGCACTTCGTCAGTCAACATCTTCACCTAGGAGGGAGGACTATATCATCTGCATATTCTAAGTCAACGAAATTATTCCCTGTTGGTAACAAGCCAATCCCTGAGGATGACTATTTGAAATCAGTCAGGTGTTACTTGAACGGGTAATATATAGTTTGAAAGTAAATATCTTAAACTGATTAACTGTACTTTTGCAAGTAGGTAGTACAATAAAATGAAGACGGAAAGTGATTACCTGTCGGCTTTTCAGGTATCTCATGAAAAGCTTCTTTAACAGAATGAGTCTGTGGTTCGTTCGTGATATTTTCCTTTGAATCTTCCAATATAGTTTCTTCACAAAGAAGAGTAGGTTCTTTGTTTAATTTTTCACGTTCTTGAATGCGAAGAATGAAATCTTTCATTCCTGGTGGTGTTTTTGGTCTGATAAAGTTTTCTCTAACGCGAATTGGCTTGTAAATAGGCACACCATCGTTGTAATCTTCATCTAACAAAAAAAATGATAAAAAGGGGGCACAAATTACTTAAATTTTTCTAATCTGTCTTAATAGACTTTAGAAACCATCAAATTAGTGACATATTTGGATGACAAACAACACAACTAGTTAGTAGGAAATGTAATTAAGTAATAAAGGTAGACCAGGAGTTATACATTTTAAGGATACACTTTAACTCCACGAACCAGTATTAAAAAACCTGAGGTTCTTCATTATGCTTAAGGTCATTAGTTAGCAACCTCAAAGATTGACCGCAAGCATTACTGTCCAGGTAATTAAAACATTTCTAAGTAAGCAGATTTAAGCAACGGGTTGATGAATGAATTAATAACCCCAAACGGTAGCTTGCAACAGTTAAAACTGTAACACGGAATAGATTTTTCGTGTAAAAGGCTACAAGTCAATTATTGTACTGGTTGATGATACCACCCAATCCCCAAGGCTCAGATGGATGCACAGGGATTCGAACTCGGGACCCAATACATGAAAAATAAATCCTATAACCAATGAGAAATATCTTAGTAATGGTCAGCTAATTTACTCATTTACTAGCCGATCGTAAGCTGGGAAAAAAGAGGAGAGATTCGTCGTGAGGCTAGCGACTCTACCACGGAAAATCAATCAATAGCTATAGAAACCTTAAACCATTGACAAAACATAAAAAACAAACATATTCTTCGCTGTAATCCGGAAGGAAATGACGTGGACCTGTGAAAGCCTTCGGGAAGCTACTCAGCTAATGCGTCTTCCCTCGACAAAAGCGAAAATAAGCCAGCGGACATCAAATGTCCGCATGATGTTTAAAGCTTGCTGGTGAGGCTGATAAGATTGCAAAAGAAACGAGAAGATATGCCATAGGGATACTAGGAATCTGTGAGAGAAGGTGGGATGGGAGTGGATTCTCCAGATTGTTAACTGGAGAGTCAATAATCTATTCCGGTCGTGCAGACGACAACGACGAACACACCAAGAGAGTGGTTATCATGATTTCGCCAACAGCATCCAAAGCTCTTATACACTGGGAAGCAATCTCCACCTGCATGATAGTGACAGTGAGATTCAATCCAAAAGGTAGGAAAGCTTCAATTAGCGTCGGTAGCACAGTGGTTAGGACTCTCGCCGACCATGCACATGGTCCGAGGTTCATCCCCTGCCGACGCACCCCTGATTATCTATGGTCGGCCTGGAAAATTTGGGCTACCGATATTCATGCTGAAAATTCTATACTTGTACCAAAAATACAGTGTGGAATCAAGCTGTAATCAAAAAAAGCAGAGAGACTTCATTTTAGTCTCAAAGTCAGGTTGAGAGACAACTAGGAAGTCGGTAATTCACCACATTTCAAGTTCAACACTCGTAAACTGAAGGAAAAAGGTATAAAAGAGACCTTCACTGGAGTTATCAGGAAAAAGGCGGACCCATTGTACAACATCACGGAGGAAACCTGCGTGAAGAAGCATTGAAATTCTGAAAATTATGTGGGAGGAAATCTGCATAGCCGTGTCAGGAAGAAAGAGAGGCAAGACAAGGAATGGCTCAGTAGGGACATGTGGATGCCAATAGAGAGAGGAGTAGTGAGGTAGACGGACCAGTGCAGAGGTGAACAACGAAAGAACAGGACTTCAATCTACAGAGGACTGAAAAAAGAAGTGAAAACTGTGAGGAAAGATAAAAGATAATTTTAAAACACACCGGCAACTGAAGCACAACGTGCAGCAAGTAAAGAGACCACAGAATACTTAATTACCAAATAGAGGAAGCAAAAAGGAATTATGTGCCCATGATTACATAGGACTCTGAGATCGCCCATCACTGCAACTCGTCCAGAAATGCCATCAACTTTCACAGAACTGCAATTGAGCACCCATCACCCTCCAAAAGCGGAAGTCTTGAAGGCCATAAAGCCAGTAAAAGCGAGCTGGGAAGGCAGTAGAGCATGCATCCAGAGACGACAGCAGGTTTCTAAAGAAAGAAAGGTGTCTACCGATTGAAGGAAAGGTGAACTTTTCAAACTACCAAAGGACAGTCTAACCGTTTGCAAGAACGGGTGTGAAATCACTCTCCTGTCCACGCCAAGCAAAATATTGAGTCGTGTCATTTTGAAGAGAATAGAAGACACTCTATGTGTGAAACTGCGCCGGAAAAGGCTAGATTCACAGCAGCAAATCAATGGCGAATTAAACTGCAACGCCACGTATCATGATCAAAGAGATTATAGAATGGCAATCAAATCTCCAACCCAACTCCGTACACATTGAGGATGCGTTTCAATATATTCAAGTATTTTGGAAACTGCTTCAACACTACAGAGTACCCCAAACCTCAATTAACAACTATACGACAGTATCACATGTACAGTAATCCAAAACGGAAAAGTTAGAGGAGCATTTGGGATGAAAACAGGAGTAAGACAAGGCTGTCTACTATCGCCAATGATATTCCTGAGTGTGATGGACTGTGAGTAGTGAGAAGACAGGAATACGTCATGACGACAAGAAGGAGCTAGAAGATATGGATTTCGTGCACAACTTATTCTTGACGTCACACGAACTCGAAGATCTACATGTGAAAATAAACCAGTAGGCAGGGGAGGCAGTGGTAACAGGACTCCAAGTGAACAGAGAAAACAGAGGTGAATAAGGTGCCCCACCAACAGCAAGCACTATCAATAGACTTTTGAAGGAAGTCACTTCTTTCACTTATCTAAGCAGCATAGTTTCAAACACACACTTGGCATAGATGAGGGTATCAAAGGTGGGATCGGAAAATAAGGCAGAAGTCTGCTGCGCTCAGCAGAAGGAACATCCGGATTTTCAACACTTGCAGCCTTACCTAGAGCATTTCCAGCAGTGTTGCAAACTTTCACCAACAGCTACTCCCGGTGCATACTGAAGATAAGATAACTGTCCACAAAGGATACACAACAAAGAACTTTGGTAACGAATCAAACAAGATCCCATCATCCAACAAATATTCCAAAATACTGATGGATTGGACGTGTTTTGAGTGACATCATGCGTCAGGTCCTCGAATAGAATCTGAATGAGAAACGACGAGTTAAGCGTCTGGGGTGATATGGAGACCGTTCGAGGCGGAATCGTGAGACTAGCATATAGAGACTACAAATAAAGGATGAAATGATAATGTGATATTGAAGTCCATGTTTCTATTACAACCCAAAGAAATAATAATCCGTCAACTTAACTCGAAAAAATAACATCCCAAATAAAAGAAATTGGGGCAATTCAATGCAAACATTCGGGGGAAATGATGCATTTCCCCCAAGAGAAAACAACCTAAAATTTCCCCAGAAAACCCTAAAAATCCAAAAACTGCGAAAAAACCTAAACACTTCTAAATCTGTCCCAACTTTTTCCCCAGAAAAACCCACAATTTTTATTTGGGATATGTGAATAAAACATGATCAAAAACATCGGAAAGACTCACCAGATATATTCGGTTGAATAATTTTTGGATTACACTGTCGCAGGGAACTTTCACTGTCTACTGATGTAATCAGATCAAGAATTTCACAGTCATCAGAATAGGCTGTCTCAGAAGCTTTCATCTGAAAGCATATGACCATTTTAAGATATTCATACTACCTTCATCATTCTGGACGCTTTTACCCATCCTGGGGATACTAACGGAATGCTCCTCTTGAGAGCCCAACTTTTAACGGCTTCAGATCCATTACGAAATATAACATGTGTAACAAGATGGTTTAGTGTATGTGACACACTAGCACCCAGAGACTCAAGAGCTGCTCCAAGAGCAACAGCTGGATTCCCAAACGGAGATCTGACGTCAATGTATGCCACAACTCCTAATGAGTAAAATAACCCACACAAAGAAACTACCTTTCAAAACGGCTCCCATCAGTGACCTTAAGAACCGAATATAGCACAGAAAAGTACAATATGTCATAACAACAAGTTTAAACAGTTGCTATTAACTCAAATATTCACATACTTAGGCACAAGTTTTGCCGTTTCAGTGTCTCTATCGGATTATTTCAGTCATTCTTAAAGACAAGTAAGCTTGTATGCTCCACTACTCAACGACGTTCCAAATTACAAATAATTTGCGACGTCCCTTTATGAACGTTTTGGTTTTTTGGAATATTTATAAGAGCTAGGCAGATTTCAGAACATAAAAGCTATACCGTAGACTACTGGGGCTTTACAGTGTCAAGCTTTCTGAGTATAGTCAATTTCATATTGAATTCCTGCGTTCCCAGATGTAATCATCAAGCCAACTTTCCAGTACCTCTGACATTGTTAGTGTTGCTGTTAGACGTCTCTAGTGGTTGCTATTCTGCTCTCTTTGAGAACAGTAAACAGAACACGTCTGTACTCCTCCAGAGTTTGTTGATCGCATCATGAGTGCTAAAACAGAATACTTAGTGGGATAGATAGATATTAAGCACAGTATTTAAGAACTTGTGGATTGATATCGTTGGGTTCGGGGTATTTTTCTAAATGAGGCTTATCTGCTTTCCCTGGAACCATAATCAGAGTTATCTAAACAAAAGCAGTTCATATGAAATCGTGCTGCCTTATAGTTTACCGAGGTAAACGAATAGATTTAGCTTCGTTCTTTCTTCACTCTCTATGGAATGTATCGCTAAATATTCCTGGTAAACAGTAAATAGGCTTCTGACGAAACTCGCTTACTGACCACTACATAGGGACACCTAGCAACAAAAAGAAATTTAGTCGCTTTATGGATAGTTTAGGTGTGTTTAAAGACAACTCTTCATATACCCGGAACTGTCTGCATCGAACAAGCATCTTAGAGTGGCATTGTTACATGCCCCCCTTAAATGAAACGTCGGAGTCCGTTGCCGTAGTGGTTAAACGACAAGTTGTTTTGTATATACCTTCTGAATGAAAATTTGAATGAGAGAAACTTTGTGACCTGCATAATGCACTCTACCTGCGTTACATTTGCTGCCCTTGTATCAAGAAACGTCGCTTGATACTGGTATCTGCGCAATACAATAGATTAAAGGAGGCACCAAGCTCAAATTCTAAACATATATTTTGAAGTTTCGTAAAACCATGCTGTTTTATGTGGCCTATTTGATGATATGTCATAGTTTTAATCGGTCCAATAGTTGTTGGCATTAACAGCGCAATTTCAGCATTAGTTTCGGTCTGATTTTCATCTAAAGACACAAAGCATTAGGAGCATGAGCACATTGTGTGTCATTGTTGTGAAGTTAGTTTTCAAGTGGCCTTCACTTTCGGGAAGGATTCAATTACTAGAATATTCCAATTTCATAAACACAACTACGGTTCATACTTGAATGGAGGTTACTGGCTCATTTGGAATAAGGACAAGTTGTTCAGGAGGTTAGGGAGACTACATTTCTTGGTTTATTCGTATAGATGCTATTGCGCACTGAGTTGCACTGGAACTCTACATGAAACGAAAGATTTTGACTGCCTCGCTCCTCTCTTCGGTATAGCAAAGCCGATAACACAGGAGTTATTCCACTAGATTGCTACATTAAGTTCATTAAGGACGAACAGAACTTCTTCCACTTCAATGTCAAGCTGTGAACTGTGTAGAACAGTGCAGTGATACATTTGGCATGGGGATTTCATAGTGAAATCAAAGGTGCTTATGTTTCACTAAATCTTGTGCACTTCCTGTATGGATTTGATGTTCGTCAGGTGATCATTTAACAACTGTTGAACGTTGCAATCGAGCTAAAGTTATAACTCGTAATTCCAAGAATTGTTACTTGTATTTGCATCAGTTCACAATTTGTTGAGGGTACACAAACACGAAGTCCATTTCTCACTTTACTAGGGAAATACTTACAAGATATTCTGAAAAAGTAGTACACCAATTTGTGAATTTCATGATTTATATACATTACACTGTGTTCAATTAATACCAAAACTAAGTTGGAGGGGACTCATATTTCTAATAGGGGTGTAAAACAAAACTGATTTCTGCAGCTGTCATCCTTATTTCAGTTTAATTTCATCACACATACTGATAGGATTGCATGTCTTTGACTCTGGGGACTTACCAGGTAACAGTCTCGTCAACTTAGAGTATTCTGACGATATTGTCAAGCTATGAAAAGACCGACGGCGTTTGATCGCGGGTGTCTGCGCTCCATCACCTATGTTAAGCAGTACAATGTGGTGAGTAATATTGGAATTAGATGTATGGTGTTAGGCAGAGATGAGACTCGAAGTCGTTATTAATAACATTCACATCACTCTGTGTTATCTAACATATCTAACAAACCATTATGCTTTTTCCTTTTCACCATTCATTCCCCTTCACGCCTGTGCTCATTATAGCTCCAGCGAATTTATTTTTACTCTCACTCTTGTGTACCTCATCGAATTTGGTAACTTAAACAGGTGCGCCTATGTGCAAGCCTCTATGTTAAAAGTCAGTCGGTCAAAACGATAAATATTCCGGGCATAACAAAATGTTAGCAAGTGGATAATAATCTCGAAATTGTCAGCAAATGACAATCACATTTTTTCATTTGGCTCCTGATATATATATATATCCGTATAATATGTGTGTTTGTTTGACAGTCTGATATATTTTGCTACGTATATATGGATCGATATTCCATTATAATTAGCCAATCATGTTAAGACTGTCTATTGATTTGTTCATTTTGAATATTCGCTCTCACACTTGTATTCACACACTTGTTCGGACATTCATATATATTTTTGCTCTCACACTCTTGTGAGACATATTGATTCTCCTGGTGTTTTGGAAAACGGAAGTATCATCGCAAACCTAGTGGTCTTCTGATTTCCGTCTTTCTTGCATCAGGACTATTAAATTCTCGACCAGTACATAACAATAATTTGGCGACGAGTACATAATAGCTCCTTGCTATATGCAAAAGGGTCATTTTACTATAATCCCTTCTGATACCTGGGATAGGTTTCACATTTTCATAGCCTCTTCATATCACATTAGACGGTTTATTTTATACCACGGCCCAGATGCTCAACTGAAGCATATCTGATGAAATATTTTTCGATTATTGCCGACTGCAAATAATTTTTTTAAGTATGTAATATGGCAACTTGAACTGTTGAAGTTCTGTGCTTAGTTCTACGTTGCTGTGGCTGCCATGTGTCACAGTTCACTGCGATGTTATTTTGTATTGACAATTAATAACGCCGTTTCCTGAGCACTGTATGCATTTTCATAGTTTCTTTAATTGTCCAGATAAAGTGCACCGAAGAAGAAACCCCGAGCCAGAAGCTAGTAACATGGAAATAAGAAGTAGTAAGAGTCGAAGTGAATGAGATGAATGACATTTTGTTGTCCCTATATTATGTTTATCTAAAATAATTATCTTATTTACCACTCCCCTCCTGCACTTTTTGTATTCCTCACTGCAGCTTATCAGTCTTCGTAGACATTCCACTAGATGTCTCTATAAATAACATCTGCAAGCAGCCTTTCAGTGGATCCAATTCTCACAAAGTCTTTGGTACGAAGCCTTGAGGTTAATCACACTGGGCTGTATTACAGTTAATATGCTTACGCTGATAATAACCTGCTTTACTTATTACTGATTTAATGACATACAAGGCTTGTACTTGTTGCTGTGAAGTTTGCTTGTAATAACATCCCTTACACAATAAATGCAATGTTTGTGATGACAACTCGTTATTAAATTTTCACGGCGTTGACACGTGCGCATATTTCAGAAGAAAGGTTATCTCGTCGTATTAACTTTCGAGAATGCTTTCATAGGTGATAACACTTCTGCCTAGTAAGAGTTGCAACTCATGCACTATGAAATGCTTTTGACAGCATTCACAAATAACTACTAAGCTCTTAGCATATGGAGTAGTAAAATAGAAGGCATATACAATTTGGGCGTTAAGGTGTATTGGCAGTTAGTGACACAGTATGTCTGTACATGTTTCCTTTCCAAACAAGAAAATTCTAACAGTAACGTAGAGCTATAAGCAGTCACATAATGGTGCGCTCATTACTCTGTATATCTTTTGTAAGTTGTGTTTCCATTCAGTTGTCGGCGGAGCTTCAATATCTCTTTGCAGGACTTCTTTACTGAACTTTTTTTTGATTTACAGCTTGATTCCACACTGTATTTTTGGTACAAGTATGGAATTTTCAGCATGGATATCGGTAACCCAAATTTTGCAGGCCGACCATAGATATTAGGTATGCGCCGGCGTGGGCTCGAACCTCGGACCATGTGCATGGTCGGCGAGAGTCCTAACCACTGTGCCACCGACGCACACATGACACAATGCTCGGTAGTGACAGTTCTTGAAGAAAGCACCTGCGACACAATCAGACAAAGTTTTCAACTTGGAGGGGTATTAGAGATATTATTAAAAGTGCGACATACCCGCAAACTGAGGAATACGAGTGCAACACAGCACCATATCCATGCACGGTATTCGTTGTGTTTTAAAATTTCTGAAGGTACAAGTGGAATTCACGAAATGAGCGTCCGTGAAGTATGGAAGTGTCCCATCGATTCACGTGAACGGGAGGCTGGTGAAATGCGATCTCTTAAGCAAACGTACCTGCAGAGACACCGGTATGTGTTAATTTGCGTGAACTCTGGGCTGTATTAAGAGGATATTCCTTTCAATCGACCCTTCATTGTACGATCCCTTATTTTTCGTACAGATTTGATTACATTTTTCTCTTCCCATTTTGTCTATAATTATGGAACATACATTATTCTGAGGGACATTTCTAATGGATTTTCTCAAAACCGATGTTCTTCTGTTTTTAGTCTTAATTGGCGTCACAGTAGTTGACAGGATTAAAACGATGGATAGTAACTCAGTGAATTCTGTGTCTACCATAATTCTCGGCGCTTGCAACAGAAATAGATGACGAAGAACGGCAGATTGGATGATTTACGACTGAGAACAGGTTGCCACCAAACTGCGAGGAAATTATTTAAAGGCCAGTCACCCAAATATCCGCAAAGAATTCTTGGTGT